CGGCAGAAGGTATTAGATCGAGGTCGCTTCGGGAAGGGTATCCTCACGGTCCTCGTGCTTATTGGCTGTTCCTTTGCTTCCTGGGGGAGGGTGCCCTCGAATTCTCCTCACGTTGGCCGGCGGAGGGTCTCATGTTCTTGAAGGGTGTTCTTTTGCCCTACACCTTAGGCGATGCTTAAGAAAACTTAAGTTTTCGGCCAGAGTCTCAATTATTCTTAAGGTTTCAATGTTAACCCTAAGATTTTAATCGAAATATTGGGTTTTAATTCAAGTTCTGAGACTATGGATTTCTTAACCCATGATTTCTTAAGCATTTCGCAGGGTGTAGATCCGACTGTTCTTAAGCTGGGTGGTGGCACCCAGGAAACCAGGTAGCACCACGGAAGAAAAGAGAGGCGTGCCCATCCTTTCTTCCACCAGTCAGTGGGGATGGCGACAGAGTGCGCACTCAGGATGTCAGACCATTGGGCCCGAAGTCGGCTCCACATCGATCCCAGCTGTACCCGTCAAAATCCTTCTCTTCCTCATATTGCCTTCTCCATGCGAGGCTAGGACGAGGATAAATCCGCTTCAGAGCGCTCTGGAACATAACTAGAGCTTCCCAGAACGCTCTGAGAAGGCAGCGCCGCCCGACACGCCCCTCGGGGCCACCGGACCTCAGAGATTCCCGATTTGCCCTCGTCCTGGCTTCCTCTTACCTGCCCCTCGGATGCCCTGCCCACGCCGCCGAGCGCCGCCGCCGCCCGGGCTCAGCTGCCTCGACGCGCCCGTTTTGCCGCGCCGCGCGCGCCGCGCTCGTTGAACACCCTTGCCCATGCGTCGCGTGCCGGGCTCGGCGTGCTGGCCCACATGTTGGCGAAGGCATCGCGCAAGAGCCACGTGTTTGCAGCCCACGTGTGGAGCCCCGTATCAGTACGCCACGCGCTGCGCGTGGCGTCTCGGAGCAGCCGAGCCTCGGATGCCCCGCCCACGCCGCCGGGCCCCGCCGCCACCCAGGACGACGCCCCCGCCTACACGGCCGCCTAGACGCGCCCCGCAGGGCTCGAGAGGCAGCGGCAGCACCACGAGGCCGGCCTCCCCCCACCCTCGCCTCCTCCTCCCTCCTCGTCCTCCTCGTTTTTTCTTCCTCCTTCCTTCCTCCTCGTCCTCCTCGTCCTCCTCGTCCTCCTCCTCCTCCCTTCCTCCTCGTCCTCCTCGTCCTCCTCGTCCTCCCTCCCTCCTCGTCCTCCTCGCCCTCCTCCCTCCTCTGTCCTTCCTCCTCCTCCTCCTCCTCCCTCCTCTCCTCCTCCTCCTCCTCCTCCTCCTCCTCCTCCTCCTCCTCGCTCCTTCCGTCCTCCCCGTCCTGCTTCAGCAAGGCTTCGGGCTGTGCACTGGCAGCCCCCCCCCCCGGGCCCCGCGGGCCTCCACCCACACGCTCAAACTCTTCTATATATACAAGATTCTTGTTAATATAAAAGAGAAGGCCAGCTGGACGTACGATTTAAAGACACAATATAAAGATTTCTTTGAAATCCATCTTGAAAACAATGTTTTTCTTTTATATATAGCGTGAGCACATTTATCTATACATGTTTTTCTTTATTTTCATGTTTTAAAGATGGCCCCGCCTCGAATTATTTATCCTCTCTGTTGTGTATTTGCGAGTGTTGCCACATAACAGCGGGGCGTGCACTTTATACATATACATACATATATATACATACATACATACATACATACATACATATACATACATACATACATACACACATATACATATATATAACTATATGAGTTCGAGCGTTTCACGCGCAATGTTCGTTTAAATGCGTTGGGTGTCTCCTCGCCGTAGCGCTGGTCACATCCCATATTCGGAGTAAGTAGCTCTTCGCCTGAGCGTTGGCTAACATCCCAGCTCGAGGGTCCTGGGGTCGGGGTTCTGGGCCCTGGGGTTTCGGATCCTGGATCCTGGGGTTTGGGAAGGCCGTGGGGCTTGGAAAGATCCACAGAATCCCTGAGGTCTCCCACCGTCACCATCACCACCCTCATCATCACCGCAGCTTTTTTTGGTTTTCGAAGGTTCGTGTGAGCATGTCGGCCAAACGTACCAAGGGGATTGACTTACCAAACGATGTCTCATACGATCTCTTTTCGGATCACGTGCAGGTCTCTAGTTGCAAACCTGGTGTGCTATGGAACGTTCCTAAGGTGACCAAGCAAGGCTTGACGAGTTCATGGGCATTGGTATCAAAGCAGTTCAACTTGATCAATGGCATAGTTGATAAATCAGGAGGGTTGGTGCCTAATCAAAGGTTGTTTCAAAAACAGTTTGACGCGTGGTTGACCAGAAACACCATGACCTGGAGCTACACTGACTCAGATAAATCCATATACGGCTTGCGTGTTATGATGATGTCGTTGCAGAGTATTGCCCGCACCACCAAGCGAGCACCGAAAGGTCACGGCCAGCTCCAGATCATCATCGACAAGATGGCTGCCTGCAGGGACATCGACAAGAGCAAATACAGTGCTGATGATCATCATGATGATGATGAAGTTGTGGAGGTACCCGCCCCACCCAAGCCTAAGGTCCCGCTGGTCGATGTCCCCAGCACCGATGAGAAGACCACTATCGAGAAGCCTTTTGACATCGACGAGCTCGAAGCTAAGCTGTTCTGGAAATCAAGTGGAAAATCCAAACAGGTTGGTGGCATGCCGCTGACAGCTGAAACGTTAAAGGCCTTGGCATCTGCACCACCGCCTGCACCCACTCCACGCGACTACATTGCCATGAGCGGCAAGGGCAAGAAGACCAAGGCAGACAAGACGGGCGACGGCCAGAAGGTCGACCAGGGCACGACGGGCTCCGAGGTGAAGCGGAGGCGGATCACGTCCAAGCGCCCTCCGACTGAGACATCAGTCATCGAGGCGAACCGCGACAAGCTGGCCAAGGAGGACTGCCCAGGGACATAACACATGACAAATATGAATCCAAAAACGTGTGGGAAACATGCATGGTTAATGTCACGGCCACGTTTCCGTTACACGAAAACCACAAGTGAAAAATGAAACATGCATGTTTCATTTTTCATGTTATGTTTCAGTTTTTGTGTTCGTGAAAACCATCGGTGGGGAAGGCGAGCGGGGACGGCGAGGGGGAGGGGGACACGAAGGGGAGGGGGGAGAGGGGAAGGGTGGCTGGTCGGGGAAAACCCTGGAGGAGGTGAGGAAGTGGGAGCTTGAGGAGGAGGAGGAGCAGGAGGAGGAGGAGGAGGAGGCACCCACAATGCGAAGTAAAAAACCAACTCGGCTAGAAGAAAGAGGAGGAGGAGGAGGAAGGAGGGAGCAGGAGGAGGAGGAGGATGGCAAGGAGGATGAGGAGGTAGAGTTTTGTTTCAAATCGGTTTGAAAAAAAAAAACGAATGAGGAAGAGGAGGAGGAGGAGGAGGACAGGGAGGAGGAGACGGAGGAACGAAGTTCAGGCATATCTAAACTGCACCGCGACGTGCGGCGCAATTTCGATATGTGGTTGGCGGGGCGGCTCCCGAGGATGCGGAGTCCGACTTCTTCAGCGACCTCCTTGACTTGGGGAAGCTGGGGCCTGGGAACACATGGTCGAAAGTGCGCAATCGGGTGCACTCGAGGGCGTACTCCCATAAAAAGAAGCAGCTCATTCGCCTGAGGATTTCGGTTGAAGTCGCGAGCAAGATGGCATCAGCGTTTGCCAGGGAGGTTGCCAAGTCGTGGGATGAGAAAGTCAAGACGTGAGTTTAGTGCATTGAGTTGTCTTCTCTGCGTTTATCTGTGCGACTGCCGCTCGAGGGGTGCGTGTGGCAAGAACTCACACGTGCATAAGATAGACACGACAGTGGTGAGCACATGACACATATGGTGGACCCCAACAAACAGTGTAGACTCCGAACAGTGTGGACCACAACCAGTGTGGACTACAAACAGTGTAGACTCCGAACAGTGTGGACCACAAACAGTGTAGACTCCGAACAGCGTGGACCACAAACAGTGTAGACTCCGAACAGTGTGGACCACAAACAGTGTAGACTCCGAACAGCGTGGGCCACAAACAGTGTAGACTCCGAACAGTGTGGACCCCAAACGTTGTGGACTCCAAACAGTGCGCCAGCGTGGACCAACTACACTTACATCTAAGCTGTACGAACTACGTGGGTCAAGATGCGAGGCGCAAGCTATGTGGTGCAATACATAAGCGTTGCAGTCTGTATGGGGCTGCCTGCGAGATGTTATCTATGATGTAGGCTATATGTGCGGTTCAGCTTGTGTAGCGCAACCTCGGGGGAACAGTCGACGCGGCGCAACCTATGTAGTGTGAACGATGTGGCGCAACCTATGCGGCGCAAATACATGGTGCCATGTTAGGTTCCCGAGGCTCGACGAGGTTTGGGAGGTTCCTTACGCCCTTCTTGTTTCTGTTCTCTCCTCGAAATCCTGGCCAGATTTTTTGAGCACGACCTTGGAACTGTTATCAGACACGTTCAGCATGACTAAAGCATGACTAAAGCACTCTCAGCATGACTAAAGCACGCTGAAAGTGTCTGATAGCAGGGTCACTCCACTCGCGTTGGGGTGGAGGCCTTTGCATATCTTATATCAGGCCCCTGCGGGGGCTTTCTCCTTGCCAGTCGAGGCAATGTCCCTCGCTCGTCCGCAGCCGTTCTGGCTCGAGGCGATATCCTTCTCTGACTCGGGTCGGAGATGGCTCCGAAAAGCGCTGAGTTCGTTGCATTTGCTGGCGCAAACTTCAGGCTCTCAGCCGATGGCAGCGCCGTGCGCGGCCAAGATCTTGAGCCTCCAGCTCCACCAGCCCCGAACGTGGATGACAGCAGGCAGCAGCTGGTCGATGCAATTGCCGCAGCTCACATCATTCAAGCACGCAGTGGCACGAGCGATAGCGACGACGACGACGAGGTGGAGTTCATGAACTCACCTGGCCATGACCCGAGCATCGTGGCCGACAACCTGAAGGAGTCTCTCGGGCGCGCCGAGGCCTTCCAGAGCGTCACTCACAGCTGGGTGCTAACTATGCCAGATCATCCCTATCTCAGCGGCCTGAAGCAGAACCTAGCCAACTTCGTCGAGGAGCTGACCGCTTACATCAGCATGGTCGATAGCAAGATCTCCAACGAGCATTTCGACGCGATGGCCGACTACGAGGCGGGCAAGATCAAGGACTACGAGCAGCGCTGGGCCACCATGAAGGCTGAGGTCGCACCGTTCATCCAGCATGCGACGTCATCATCAAGCTCGTCGGTGCGTGCACAGCCGCCTGTGGCACACGGAGCCTCGGAGGATGAGATCGACGAGGACGCGCTCTTCGCTCGCAAGAAGAGGCGCAGGTGCTGCAAGAAGATGACCCCGTCATGAGCCGTGCTGCCGCGCTCCGCTCTGCACAAATGGTTTCAGTGTCAGTCTCACTGCCAGCAGGGCATCTACATTCGCGAAGCAATCTAGCTGGGGGAAGCTGTAAAGGGCCCTCCCCCTCCTCCTCCTCCCCTCCTCCTCCTCCTCCTCCTCCTCCTCATCATCATCATCATCATCCTTCTCCCCCCCACCTCCTCCTCCTCCTCCTCCTCCTCCTCCTCCTCCTCCTCCTCCTCCTCTACCTCCTCCTCCTCCTCCTCCTCCTCCTCCTCCTCTCCCACCTCCTAGGGAACCTCTTGGGAAATCTTGGGGCCATCGTTTGCTAATATGGGTCCTTCTATGGGGCCGCACGGGCTGCCTTGGGGCTATCCTGGAGGCCATTGGGGCCGTCTCGGGCGGTCTGAGCTGAAACACCAAATGAAACATAAACTGAAAAATGAAACATGCATTTTTCATTTTTCACTTTGCGGCCTCTTCGAAGGCCTGGTGGACTTTCGAGGGCCTCCTGGGGACTCGTGGCATAGTTGCAACCCTTCGGGTACCCTCAGCTCCCTTGAGTGCATGAGTCATTTCAGAAATCTGAGGACACAGGATGTGCCACGGTGGGAATCGTCTGGGTACCAGGTGCGGTCACGAGTTGAAACAAAAAGTGAAAAATGAAACATGTATTTTTCATTTTTCATTTTATTTTTCATTTTTCATTTTATTATGAAACCATATATATATATATATATGAAAAAACAAGTTTTTGAAAAATGAAAAATAAAATGAAAAATGAAAAATGCATGTTTCATTTTTCACTTTTAGCGCGCGCCCTGTGTCCACCAGGATTGCACTTGTTATCTTGCGCGCCACTGGGGGCGCAGGCGCATTTCACTCGCGCGACTCATGCCTAGGAGAGGGCTCGGGGGCAACAAAACCTATCGGGTGGGGAGGCCTTCATGTCTGGGGGCGTCTGGGGCAGGCAGTCCGGAGCCTCAGTGGCTTGATCGCTCATGTTCTGGAGGCCCCAGCTCTCGACAGCCACTTGTGCTCGAGTGAGCTTGGATCCTGCTGCGCAGCATGGCTCCGAAGATGGCAAAGACGACCCTCAGCACAGTCACGCCGTCGAAGGAGGAGCTGGCCAAAGCTCGAGAGATACTCGCACAGGCAGCGCACGATTTTTCAAACAGGGCACTGTCTGTGGAGGATTGAGCGGGGTATGCATACGCATACCCCGCCCAACCCTCCACGGGGGCAGTGGGGTGGCGGGGATCTCTCGAGCCTGCCGACAGGCAGACGGTAAGGAGCTGGCCTCGAAGAAGCAGTCGATGAAGCACTTCCTCCTCTCGAACCCAGACGCTGCAGCTTCGTCGGCGAAAGGCGCTACCAAGATGGCGTTTCTAGAGAAGTTCCTCGTGCACCAGCTGAGGTGCAAGGATACAGAGAAGAAGTCGCTCAGCGAGAAGACGAAGAAAACATCTAACATCACGTACAATGACGTTCAGTGGATGTCCCAGGATAAGATGGACGCTGAGTTAGGCGAGGCCAAGGCCAAGCATTGGCGCGAGCGTGGCAAACTCAGGAGCAGGCCTGATCGCCTCACAGGCTCCACGGACCCACTGCTGGTGGAGTGGCCTGTGCCTACCGAGTGGCAGCGGATGAGCGACGAGGACATCCACACCTTCATGCTGCAGGTCTCGGGCGACGCCGACGAGGAGGACCTCGCCACGTTCAACAGTGCCATGGCGGCGAGCTCCGATGTGAAGATCAAGGAGGAGCCCGAGACAGAGACGATGAAGATGGCCAAGCGCGTCGAGGAGCTTCGGGCTGGTGTGCAGGATAAGCTTCGCGTGTACCATGACATGCACGTCGATGCCAAGGTGATCAAGACTAAGATCGGAGCATCTTCCGACAATGGTAAGTACTCTGAGACCTTCGTGAAAGACCTCGACAAGCATATTGCGAAGCTTGCGAGGGCCACCAAAATCCTGGACAGGATGTGCACCGAGGAGGTGAACGACACTGAGCTGCCGAAATTGATCAACACCTTGGATGCCATTGACAAGGAGGACGTTTCCATCAAGGAGTGGGCCGTCAGGTTCAATGCCTACACCCCGAAGCCGACTGGGGAGGGTGGCAACAAGCGCAGGAGGACCAAGAGGGAGTGAGGCGTGACAGTATGTCTCATCAAAGTTCGGGGTATCTTCAGCCGCAGGGAGTTCTGCACTTCAGTTTCTTTGCTTGGGGAGGAGAGTTGTTCTGAAGCGCAGTTGCAATCACGTTTTCTCTTGAGCTGGCTTGGAGCTGGCCGTTCGCTCGCAGCCGTCCGCTTACCTGCAGGCGCAAAACGCACTGAACTTTCAACACTGAGTGCAAGCATTGTGCAAGCACTGTTTAAGCACTGTTTGGGGACCCGTAGGGCTACAAAAACCTTAGTGCAAGCTCTGTTTAGGTACCGATCGCAACAATTGCAACCCGTGCAAGAAACCCTTAGTGCAAACGCTGTTTAGGGGACCTGTATACAAACAAGACTGACACGGCAACCCGAAGAGACATATAAAATGAAATACCAAACGAATCCACATGAAATGAACAAACGATGTTTAGGGGACCTGTATACAAACAAGACGGACACGGCAATCTGAAGAGCCATATAAAATGAAATGCCAAACGAATCCACATGAAATGAACATCACAACACATGAAATCCAACCTGCAACGAGCTTTATGGCATGCAAGACAAACATAAAATGCCAAATGAAATACCAACTGAAACATGCATCCCCGTCCCTCTACCACCCACTCCGTTGCCCATAATTCTGGTTCACAGTAATTGGCAAGGCATCCCAGCGATGCTGCTGTGCATTTTTCCTTGTCGTGCTGAGAGGCACGCCACTTTCGAGATGCATGGATAGAAAGGGCGGTGTCAGACGACGTTTCGAACAGCTTGCTGAGGATGCGCGTGCTGACGATCATGAGCCCGAGCTTTCGGAATCAAAGATTCGAGGAGGCGTCCGCCAGAGATCATCACGGAGTGCTGTGTCAAATGAGCCATCTCCTGAAGCTGGACCGTTCAGTCGCACCATGCGCAAGGACTGGGCAACTGGCACCCTATCGTCAGCTAAAGTTCAGGAATATGCATTCGCAGCCCAGCAGCAAGGAGCCGAGGGGTTGGACAATTTAGCAGCAGTTGGTACATATGGGAAGTGGCCTCAAAACCTTCTAAGAGATTTGAAAAATCTCTTCGGCTACCCGCTCGGCTCGCCACCCATTGACTGGGTCGAAGTACCAATGAAGCATGGCAGGAAGATCGCACATCCAGTTATATTCCCTCACAAGTTTTTCATGGAAATGTGTGCTAGGCGGAGAGACGTGTGGGATCAGAGAATCGTCGGCCTTGATGGTGGCCTCGTGGCCTTCTGGGAGTCGATGGCCCACTCCCGTTTCGTGCAAGAGCATCCACACCTGCCACGCGATATATGGGATAGAACTGTTCCGATCGGATTTCACGGAGACGGAGGGGCATTTTGTTCTGCCGACTCCATGTACGGTTTGGCATGGAACAGCCTTGTCGCAGCAGGCACAACAATTCAGACGCGGTTCTTGTTCACAGTGTGCCGCAAATCTGACATGACGTCGGATACGCTTGATAGTTTGCTCAGGATATTTGGATGGAGTTGCAATGTGATGCTTAGTGGTCAGACTCCATTCGTTGACTGGAACAATCGGGCGTTGGAGGGTGGAGGTCAAGATCTGGCGGCAGGATTCCGTGCCTGCCTCTGCCAGATCAGAGGCGATTGGTCTTTCTACAAAGAGGTCTTTTACTTCCCCCAGTGGAACCAGAGCGACATGATGTGCCCTTTCTGCCGAGCAAGTTCTGTCGACATGCACAGGTGTTGGACTAATGTGGCTCAGGATGCAGGCTGGAGGGCCACGAGATGGACTCACGAAACGTATATTCGTCACCGACTTGCAGCAGGTCTTGCGATACCCGTTCTATTCCTAGTTGTCCTAGGCCTCAGGCTCGAGTGCGTTACGGTGGACGTCCTTTCACACCGTCGACCTCGGGATCGCGGCGCACATTGTTGGGAATGTGATTTTCCACGTGGCTGTGAAAAAGAACGCGTTCAGAGCACCGACTTACGATGCAAGAGTCAAGATGTGCCAGAAAAATTTGGTGGAGTGGTACAAGGCTACACAATGTACTTCGAGATTGCATGGGGGGTTGACCCTCGATCGGCTTCGCTCGACTGGCGGCAACTGGCCAAAACTTGATGGCAAGGCCGCCGCCATGCGAAAGCTGTCTAACTACGCCCTACAACTCATCTCAACCCATGCTGATATGGATGACGAAACGGACAGAATGGTGATAGGAGTTTCTCAATGTCTAGTGCGATTTTACACGCTACTCGAGGACGAGTCTCAGTTCATGCGGCCTGATGCTCAGACTGCAATCGCCGAGACGTGCGAGCAGCTTGTTTCAATATACGCTAAGCTTTCTGCGATGGCTTTCAGGGCAAAAGAAAAAACATGGAAAATGAATCCAAAGCTGCATCTGTACATCCATCTTTGTGTGGACCAGATTCCCGAAATCGGCAATCCAAGATACTTTTGGACGTATGGGGACGAGGACCTCGTCGGAAGATTGATCTCGATTGCGGAAGGCCTACACCCCAGGACTGTCGCAGTAAACACACTTTTCAAGTGGATGTGGTGCGTTTTCGACGAGGTACTGCTCCCAGAGACCGAAGAGTTCAGGAGGTGAAAAAAACAGCTAAAACAAGAAAACAACACATACGCAGTCCACAATCACACACACACACACAAACACACACACAAAAGCTATATACAAGGCTTCTCGCCTACCCCGCCGACACAATGGCTTGAGCCAGAACGGCTACGGACTCCTCCTCCTCCTCCTCCTCCTCCTCCTCCTCCTCCTCCTCCTCCTCCTCCTTTTTCCAGCCGGGTTAGTTTTTTACTTCGCATTTTGCGTGCCTCCTCATCCTCCTCGGCCTCGTCCTCCTCCTGCTCTTCCTCCTCCTCCTCCTCCTCCTCCTCCTCCTCCTCCCCATCCTCTTCCTCCTCCTCCCTTTCCCCCCTCCCTCGCCCTCCTCCCTCCCCCCTCCTCCCTCCTGCCGTCCTCCCTCCTTGCCGCACTGTCGCCTGAGACGTCCTCAGAATTTACTCAAGCATTGCACTCTCGCTCGAGATTGGTGAAAACGTAATCATGCATATCAGCATGTGGATCACTATCGATATTTATTGAAGATCTTCCACACACCTTATATTATCGAGATAGATGAGCGAGTGGGCACGGGCCCTCCGGGCAACCCCAGCTGGCCTCCGCAGGCCCCCCCGAGCAGTCCGGGGCGACCTCGGCACGCCGGCGCCGCCCGCGGCCCCGCCGCCGGGAGCGCTCCGCGCCCCCAGGGTGGGGGCCTCGAGGCCGCCTCGGGCTGCTCGGGGGGCCTGCTGCGGCCCGCTGGGGCGGCTCTGTTGGCCCCGTTGGGGCCAGCTGCGGCCGACTGCGTGGGTGATTGTGCGGCTGCTTGTGCGCAGCCCGCGGCCTTCCGGACTGAAGGCCTGCCGGATGGGTCCCCGGCAGGTGGGGTCAGAGGATCGCGCCGCATCGCCGATGCATCGGTGATGCGGCCCGATGTGGAGAGCGAATTTCTTCACGCCGATGTCGCCGATGCATCGGGGATGCGTCGATGATGCGGCACGACCCTCCATCCCTATTCGGACCCCAACCGGGAGGCCTCTGCGCATGTTTCCCCTTCCCTCCTCGTGGCTCATCCTCCGCCTCCTCCTCCTGCCAGGCATTCGCTCCTTGTACCTGCGTAGTGCTCTCGCCTTGCGTCGTGCACTCTTGCCTTGACGAGCTGGGCGCTGGTAGGAGTCCACCGCTTTTGTTAGCTATGGTTTCGCCGATCGGCGCAGACTCCTGCCCCCCCCCTCCTCAGTCTCCTCCTCCTCCTCCTCCTCCGCCTCCTCCTCCTCCTCCTCCTCCTCCTCCTCCTCCTCCTCCTCTGTCTCCTCTCCTCCTCCTCCTCCTCCTCCTCCTCCTCCTCCTCCTCCTCCTCCTCCTCCTCCTCCTCCTCCCTCCCCTTCTCCTTCCCTCTCCTACTCTCCTTCTCCTTCTCCTTCTCCTCCTCCTCCTCCCTCCTCGTAGGTCAGATCTTGGTTGCTCTCGGCGGCTGCTTTTGGCGACTGGTTAGGACCCCCCTCCCCCGGTCTGCCTGCGCGACCGGTACAGGCAGATCGACGCAGCACTGGCCCAGACCCAGGCCCCCTCCTTCCCCGCACGGCCCTCGACGAGGAACGAACTCGTGGCCCCGAGCTGGGAAACATGAGAAAGACGTAATAACAACTACTTGCTTCGAGCGATCCCTACCGATACTTTCGGCGCCTGTCCTCCTCCTCCTCCCTCCTCCTCCCTCCTCCTCCTCCTCCTCCTCCTCCTCCTCCTCCTCCTCCTCCTCCTCCCCCCCCGTAGCCATTTTGGCTCAAGATGCAGGTTTCCCCAGGGAACCAAGCGGATACCGCTAGTCCGCGGCTGGCAAGACTTCCTGAAGTCTGGCGTCATCTTGGGCCCGCTTCACCAGCGCTCAGGTCGGTGGATAAACGGAGGCCTTTCCCGTTCCTGTCGGCCCGAACGCTTCCAGCTGCGAAGCCATGGGTCCTGCGAGGGATGGTGCGCATGTGGGTGATGGCGGCGCTCCTGGTGCTGCTGGCCGTGCGCCCTCCTCTGGCGGCTCCTCTTCGTCTTCCCGCGAGAAGTCCAGGAGCGGGGAGAGGCGCCGCCGCAAGCGCAACGGGCGCCTGTCCCGCGACCGCGCCCGAGACGTGGAGGCGGAGCGAGAGGAGGCCAAGAGAGCGGCTCTGGCTGCGCTCAAGGCTGAGGAGGCGGCCTTCTTGGAGGCGGAGGCGGCCTGCCCCACGCTGCCCTCGCAGACGGCGGCGGCCCCGCACGACCCGTGGGCGGCGGCTGCTGCTGGCCTTGGTGCTGCCACTGCGGGGCACGGCGCGCAGAGGATGGCCCCCTGCACTCCTGTGGGCGGCATGGCCACGCCCGTCCTGGGGGAGGACACCGCTGGGCTGGATGGCGCACCACCCGAGGCTGCGGCGGCCATTGCCCTCCTGCGG